CCCTACTGTAAGGCATGTAAATAATTAGGAGGATTAAATAGAAAATGATTAATTCCATGTGTATGAGAACAGTCTCCGTTGTGACCAGTGATGTAAAACTGGTCTGTAAAGTGCACAGGCGGCCATGGGTCACTGGGAAGGAGCAGTCTCTGTGTATCCTCTGAGTAGGGTGATCCAAGGAGCACAAAAGCTAGTGATACCTTGTTCAAAAAGCACAGAAGAGAAGGAGGTGTATCCTGATGTTTTGCCTAATTAAAGCCCATTTTTTGTTCTCTTGAAACAAGACATTGATTAAATCATTTGCCCATGGACTGCGCTGCTGATCTGCCAAAAGCACAGGCTCTGGCTGCAATGATACCATACAAATCACAGTTTCATTATGAGTCACTTTTCCTCTTTTCGGAAAAAATCGTCTCCTTATGCTTTTCTTTGAACACACAACCGCTTGCAACTTGGTGTCCTGCAGCGAGCACAACCCTTGATGTTGAATTTGAGGCTTTCAACCTTCCCCTGGTGCCTCTCTGACAGGCACCCACTTTGGCAGTGGGGGCATTCTGGTTTCACAGGAGGTGTTGAATGCTGGCTGTTGAAAAAAGAGATACCACTGATGTCTTTAACTGTTGCATAAACAATATCCTCATTTTGTGATGAAACCTTACTTTTTACTATGGGTGTCACATATACCAGGGGTTGCGTCCTTTCACCTGCCCCTTGGCCGTGGCTCAGGTTTCCCATGTGTTTTTCTTGCAGCCTCCAGACACTTCTCCTTCTGGTCCCCACATTTCCTAGGGAAGATGGCAAGCTCAGGTCCTAGCTCCCTTTGTCCCTAGGGTGAGGTTTCACAAGGGAGCTGAGTTGATCTAAGAACTGGCAGTTTTCAGGGAATTCCAAATCGAGCTCCGTAGATGAGACAATGAAGTTGTTCGTAGATGCGATGAGCTGGGAGATTTGGTTGTGAAGTGCCTCCTGATTGCCCCTGAATACAGAAACTGGGAGCACTCGACACCTCGATGAGATGCCAAGGAAAGGATAGGACAATCAATCCTAAATCTTGGCATTGGTGTAGGGGCTGCACTTCTGTAGCACCTGGGCTGAGGAGGTGTCCTGCAAGACATAGCTGGGTGGACAGGGCTGAGGGGGCTCTGCTCCAAGGGTCTGTGCATCGCCCCTGAGCAAAGCCACGCCACATTCTGCACCCAGACCCCACTTGGATTTAAACATGAAGTTTTAATGCATTCTCTTTAAAAAAAAAAAAAAAAAAAAGGGAAGGAAAAAAAAAGAAGTCTGAATTTCCGATTCTCCTTGTAGTGAAAAAAAAAGCACAAATATCTCACTTCAGATCAACCTGAAACATTTTTTTTGGGGGGAAGGGATGTTTCTTTTTCAGCTAAATTAAAAACTAGTGACTTTCATGACAGCCGAAAGTCTTTTCTTTCTTTTTCTGTTCCCCCCCTGCCCCCCCCCAAGCTCAAATACAAGCTGTCCGTCCATTAATTTTTAAGGCTGTCTAACCCTATTTTTAGTGTTTTCATTTTTTTTTTTTTAAATTCAGGTCAAGTTCAAAGGGAATACACCACTTCAGAACATAAAATCAAAGCAGATTTTTTTCTTAGATGGTAAAAATAAATCTTATAAGATTTCTACACTTTTTTCACCATGTTTTTTCCAGCTAGAACTTATCTTCAACTAGAACGTGTGAAATGTTTTGGTGTCCTCCATAACTGCATTGTTTATTGGAAATCAGTTGCTTACTGAAAATACTCTAATCTATAGTGGATGGAGAAGGTGCCCTGACGTCTATGAAAGATGCTGCTGGGTAAACCGAGGCATGATGTGACCTCAGCTCCTCATTACAATCTATTTCCTATATAGGTTTTGCTTTGGGTAAGCATTTCTGAGACAGAGAGTGTCATTTCTACAGTAACTCACTCCCAGGTACATCCTGACTCCATTCCCTTTTCTTTCTTCATTTTTAGGCTCATCTTCAAAGAGGTTTCTGTCAGTCTTAAAGAAAACATTGCTCACGGCCATGTTTTACTGTCGCTCACTTTGCCAACTCAATAATTCGTGACTTTTTACTATATTTGCACTTAAAAGATGAGGCATGAGGAGACCTGAGATTGCTTAAACTTCATTTCAGGGGAGAAATGAGCATGTGCTGGCTCTCAGGAACTGACTTCAGACCCTGTGGTGGTTTCGTTGTGCTGTAACTGAGACAACGGTTCCTGCTCTGGAGCTATTTATTATAAAGCCGTGACTTTCCTGTCATGGGGAGACCCACGTGATGTGCTTGGACTAAACAGAGACAGAGCCCTTGCCAGAGATTTTCTCTCTCTACCAAGCTCAGTCTGCCCTCCCTTCCCATTAGCCCTGTTGCAGTACACGCAAATAAGGATTATTCACCCCAATACTCCTGTAGCATTAGTATTCCTTCACTTCTAGGAAAGCGAGGACTGATTTCAGAGCGTAATGGCCAGTATTTGAGAGAAAATGACATCTGGGGCCAAAGGATGGGGTGGTTTCACTTGCTTGCAGCTCTTTACGTGGCTGCAGGGCTGCTTCATGGTTTATTTGGACAATATATGATTTAAGCTTTTTCAGCTCGGTAGGATGTGGCCTTTTGGGAGGAACTATTTCTGGCTGCTGTGAATAAAATTATGTTGTCCATCCTGGGGTTAGTGATACCCATCTGCCTGTGAGAGTCTCAGTGTTTTGGAATTTGGCCTCTTTAGTTATGTGATGCATTTCTTTCTGTTTGTATTTTCTGTCCCACCTCCCTGAGCCGGTTCACCTGCAAGTTTTTCATTGTTGTTCCCTGACACAGATGCTGCGGACATTTCCACTAAATTTAGTAACCTGTATATAAGGAAACAGGGCAAGAATTATATGCTGTAACACAGCACAGCATTTATTTATAGTTTTCTTGGTTTATACTCAGTTTTTTTTGGCTTTTTTTTTGGTGGTCAGAAAGTATAAAAAGTATGAGATCAGAACCTGCTGTTCTAAATCCAAAATAACTCTGTTGATGTTGATAGTTTAAAGCTGTGATAAATAAAATCAGGTTCAGAGTTCCCTGAAAATCTTATCTCTAGCACGTTGTTCATAAACTACTATGTTATAACAAATTTTATTTCAAGTCTTCTGATATTTGAGAGTTTTGGGGTTTTTTTTGGAAGAAAACTCAGCCATGTGATTAGCATATCTAGCAGAAAATTTTAGCTTTTATTCCTTATGTTTGTAGGAAAAAATGTAATATATGGCTTAAAGATTTGCTAACCAGACGGTGAACAAAAGGGCATCCCCAACACATGCGCCGGGGAAATCATGGAAGCGGCACTTATTTTTAAGAGACTTTTTTTTTTTGACAGCAGCAGAGCTACTTGGCACCTGAGTCATGCATTTTGAATGCTCTTTGTAGAAAATTTGCCCAAATACTTTGATCACCAGAAGTCATCTTGAAAACTGGGACACTGTCTGTGATACTTTGAAAGCGATAGAAAGGGCTCGGCGCTCTGAAGACAGCGTGTAGCTACCAGGTAGCTGCAGAAGGTGGCACCAAACGCAGCCCAGATCACAGTCTGCATGCCCAGTCCCACCCACCTGGTGTTGTCCTGCTTGGGTGCAAGCGTGACATCTAGACCAGCCTTGGACATACTGGGAGGGATAACCCAAACCTGGGCTACCTCTTATCACCACTGGCAGCCCCCACGTTTGTCCAACTGCAGCTCCAGGGTCTCCTACAGCAAGGACAGATGGATCTGAAGGTGGTCCAAGCTCATGGGTCCATCTGAGCACTGTGGTGCTGCAAGCTGCGAGCATCCTTCAGCCAGAAAAGAGGACACACAAAGCTGATGGAGGCAGGGACTTTGCTCCTTAGAGCAGTGTGGAGGTGACCTCCACCAGCCATGGAAGTCAGCAATCATGTAATTTGACATGCGCATATTATTGTGTCCTATTTAAATAATATATGCACATTGCATTCGTATTTGAAAATGCCTATTTTTTGACAGACACAAATCATTAAACGAAGCCCGAACTCTTGAAAGCCCATATATTCTTCCCCTTAATCTCTTTGATGCATAGTAATTGCAGGACATTAAATATAACAATAATAATGCCATATTTTCCAGACTATGGAGGCATTTTTGAAATTGATGGTTTCCTTTTAACCTCTCCTTCAGTCTGCAAAGTGGAGATTACCTGGATTTGCCCCACCAGACTGTTGCAAGGATTAATCTTTGTATAATGTCTTATAGCTGGGAAGTGCTGCCTGAGTATTAATGCCTCTGAACTGCTGCAGCAAGGCAATTAGTAGTTGTGCAAAAGACATTCTCATGGGGCTTTCTTCCCTCTTTATCTTTTGAAAACAGTTTAAAAAACTAGAAAAGCCATGAAGAACAGCACTGCTACACCAGGTTCCCAGTTTGCCTTGCCATGTTCTTGCAGCAGGGCTGCCCCAGCAGTGCTGGCTGCTGCCAGACCCACACCTATACCTGCCCGTCTACCACCAGGGTTGTGTCTCGATCCGTGCTCCAACTGCATCCACATCACACTCATGATATCTTCTCCCTGCTAATAAGTTGGGATTTTGAAGGTGTATTTAATACCATGCCAAATTTGTCCATGGATGCAGAGGCACCAGTAGAGCTTTCCTTTGAAGCTCTCCTGACTGTAGCTGTGTCCTCAACTCCAGGCCATTAGCTCCGAGCAGCCTTGGCTTAATTCACTTCCTCCCCTTGCACACTCTTAGCTGACTTTTGAGTACTGCTTCTCGGCAATTGCTGGCAATGTGGTGGTACTGGAAAGCCCAAGGAAGCCTTCTCAGAAGTTTAGGAAAGTAGCAAAGTCCCTTGTCATCCTTAATGGAGGTGTGCACACCGTGGTACGAGAAGGAACAGGCACTTCCTCAAAAGCCATTAATGGCTAAAGAAAATAACTTCATAAACTCTGAGGGGTTTTTTTCTTGCCTTTTTTCTTCCTTTTTTTTTTAAAATAAGTAGATGCAAAACCAGCTAGTCAACTTCTGTATGTGAAGTGGGGAGTTTCTAAGGCTGGAAGGACAGGGTGGTTTGTCTTCCGTCTGAAGATGATTGGAAAACTTCTCAATCTGAACTCCCAATTATATTTGTTAACAATCTAAGGTGAAGAGTTGACTCTTAAGTGTCAGCAAAATATTTTATGAAGGGGAGGTGGAGCATTAAGTGATCTAGTGATATTTTCTATGTGGACGCAAGGTGGGTTAAGCTGCATCATTAGACATGGCTGTTGCTTTCACAGACTTCTAAGAAAAGCAGCCACTTCACTCAGGACACAGAGGTCAGGTATTTCAGCATGTTTAAGCCCACTTCCAGCAGCTATATCCATACCCGTAGAGAGGATGCTGTCCTAGCAGAGCCACACAGCACGGCCACGGCTCTGCCTTGCACGGCATGGACAGACTTTCACCCAGTGCTTTTGTTGATCTATGGGAAAGGCCAGACTGGTGGAAGCTTGCTAAAAAAATCCAAAACAAACCAACATTACTCAAAAAAGGTCAAAAATTTGGTGTGGGAAAGTGAACTATAATTGGCTTGTAATTGTAATGCTATTAAAAATGTATTTTTTCAAGAAGTCAAGTAAACATTGTGCAATAAGAAATTGTCTGCACATTAAGCCTGAACTTTTAAAAACTGTCTATCATCTGCCTCGGAGTTAACCAGTGTCATTGCATGCTCTGCTCTCTTTTGCTGCTATGTCAAAGACCAACCAGTCCTGATTGAAGATTAGGCCTGAAAAGTGTAGTCCAATCAGATAATCCTTGCGGAAATGAAAACAGAGCACTTTCAATGGGTTAAGGAAGGATGCCCTACTGTACAGATGTTCAGCGCACAGTGCAATAAGGTCACCATCCTATTTCAGGTCTTTGAGGGAATCTCTAACATAAGTAATAATCTCCACTGTGTAAATTGTGTACAACCGAGGGATCGTAGGACGATGGTGTCCTGCTTTTTCGTTGGTGTTGGTGCCCAGGTTTTAACTTGGTTGCCATCGAGTTACTCTAGACTGATAGCAGCATAACAGAAAGAAAAGACAGGTCTCTGTTCTGCATAGATGGAGGCGCCTATCCATGATAATGTTTCTTACCATTTTAATGCATCAAATAGAAATCAATACTCCAGTTCCTTTCCTTTTAAGTATTATATCATTCTGGCTATTTTAACTTAAAAAGAGGGCTCAGGTACTTAGGATATTCTGAAAATTACCTTATTCATCTTAATTTACTCAAGCAAAATCAGTTCCAGGATAGGTTTGGGGTTTTTTTTCCTAGAATATCTATGTTATTAAAAATGTTTTGGAGCATGTTTGGTGGTTTTTCCTTCCATTTCTTAAAGACAGTTAAAGTCAGTTCTCCTATACAGAGAGAGGGCATACATGGGTGGATGCATATAGGTAATCAAATAAATCAAATTAAACTCCTTTAAAAAAAAGTTGGATTTTTCTGCGTTATATACCTGATCATATGCTTTATGATATCTATGAAAAGTCTCCATTTATTTTGAAGGCTGCAGAGCTTCTAGCATTGAATGTTTTTCATAAATTCTGTTTTAATAACAGTTTAGATTAGATTCATAAAGAATATGCAAGAGTTTAGATATGTGAACATGTGTCTGTAGCATCACAGTCAAATTCAGACGATAGCTTTTTGCATTTAAATAAATGAGCCATCCACTGAACAGTGACACACATGGCAATAATGACAGTGCTTGTCTGGGCATCCTGGTGACCTTTTTGCTACATGTGCAGCCATTTGGTTGCTTGACCTGGCTTTTCTACTGTGCTGCCCTCAGGGTGAATTTAAAGGAATGAAATTAAGGAAGGGGACAAGTTGTATTTTTATTAATGTGTCTGCCCTGAAAAAGGCAGTGACTATTTTGATTCTCAACACTTCTCAATGGACTTAAATTTGGGGTAATGCAAGCCCTTGATCTTGTCTCTGCCTGTGTTCAGCATCGGCTATAGCAGAGGAAAGAAGAACCAAGGTAATAACAGGTACTTAATTACTTCAGCCCAGCAGGAGTTTTGCACTCACTTCTTTTAATAGAAGACCACCTTGTGCAGTCCATATATGGGTATACAGGTTAGCAAGGATTAGCAGGAAGGTTAAGTCTCTGTACATATCATCCCTTTGTCGTCTTTGTTTTCAATCCTTGGCCCCAGCTCTGAGCTCCACAGACTTGTTACTCAATTCAGTGCAAATAAAGTTGCTTTACATAGGTCTGCAAAGAGCATGAAATTTAAACAAAAATTACAGTGAATACATCTGTGTGTGTTGGTGTGTGGGAGGCAGAGATCAGGACAAATTAACAGTTCCTGGTACAGGTAAGAGAAACGCATCAAAAACTAAAGCCAAATTACCCCAGGTCATTGCTGGGAGTCATGGGAAAAGGTGTTTCTCCTCCCTCCCTCCCTCCCTGTCTCTCCTTGCCCTGGGCTGGCAGAGCAAGGGCAGAGCCTTTTGGCAGACTTCGTGTGAGGAGCTGTACTCCCTTTGTGAACTTGCAAGCAAGCAGCACCACGAGGGTGGGCAGTGCTTTTTGAGAATCTGCCAGCACTCCCAGCCTCTTCAGCAGTCCTCAGCAAGCAGAGCCCCAGAAAGGGAGTGTCTGACCATCACCTGCCCTGCATCTTGCTGGCACCTTTCCAATCCAACCATTGTTTTTACCATGCACCACAGAGCTGCTACAAAAGAGTTTTCCTCCTTGGCAACAGAGACAATGACCAAGGTCCGGGTGGTTTTCTTTATCCTGGAGAATTTTTTAGGTTATTTTACATCTCTAACCCATAGGGCTAACTCTACCATAGTTTCCTATTGCACTAGCAGCTGATTCCTCCACAGTCCAGAACAGCAGCAATAGGATCTCCCACTCCCACTTCTGGCATATGGCAAAATTTCTGTAAGTGGTGTCAGCCACTTCTGTGCTCCATCAGGTTCCCTGAGACTCTTCTGTTCTTCCTTAGAGGGTTAAAAGAAATCTTATACATGTCCTAACAGAAGATATCTGGCCCAAGGTGGGATTAGGTTTACAGACACCACAGGAACGTTTATTCTGCTTAGAGCAGCCTTGGGGAGAGCACATGATTCATGGCTAGCCAGAGTGGTGTGGTAGGTCTGGGAATCAAAGGAGAAGGAGAGGAAAAGGGGAACAAAGTTAAAAAGTTAATGGGAAGGGATTTTCCACTTTTTCCACATTTATGCACCCAACCCAAAGTCTTGTAACACTGCAGGTAGATGCAAGAATGGTCTTTGAGAAGACATTTGAAGCTATGTCTCGCTCACAGAAACGCTAGCTATGTTGGTGACCTGGAGTGATTTTTCTCCCTGCCAGAAATTGCAAGGAGAGAGAACTCCAAAGAATATCAATGCTACTCTCAAGGAATTGTTTGAGATCATTCCTGGGGATAGGGATCCGCTGCAGGAACGAGACACTTACACGTGCAGACGATGCGCCGTCGTGGGCAACTCCGGCAACCTTCTACAGTCTCAGTATGGCGAAGATATTGACTCGCATGACTTTGTGCTCAGGTGAGTAGGCACCACCTCAGCTCCAGTTGTCTGTGTTGTTTAAGGTTCACTAGTATTTTTGAGGACAAGTGAGGAAACAAGCTTTCAGGGGTGATCTAGTGAAATCTGGTACTTAGGTCAAATCTGCGTGTGTTGGAGATATGACCTTATGTTTTAGTCTGGGAAAAAAAACATGACTAAATGTTGATACTGTAGCTTATCCTGCACCATCCACAATTACCTATGTTAAAAAATATAGCTGAAAAAACCTGCACTTTTGAGTAGAAGTTATTTCTGCAGCTAGTACTCAGAAGTTATCTTTTACACACTTAACTGACTGTATCAGTTTTACTTTATTGCACTGATTCTTTCTTAAGCAACAGTGGAGTAGGAAAGCTAAAGTTGCTTTGCAGTGGACAGAAGACAACTTGTTGGCTGCAGCTACTTTGTAAAGGGTTGTATCAACTTGTCCTTTCAAGGCAACCAAGTCAAGAGTGAATCAGCAGAAGATCAGCACTGTTTGAAGTGTTAAGCCACCTTAGGGCACTTGACCTCCAATGTGGCTTGGACATGCTGTAGTGTCTTCAGATGACATCTAAATGTTCACAGTAAATCATTTCAGGAGTTGCTTCCTTCAGTTGCGTGCCTTGCACTCTACCAAAAATACCTCCCTAAAGGCAGAGAAAGCCAACCTGGTCCTCAGATCCACAAAGGGAAATCTGTGTCGCTCACTATGGAGACAGCGCCATTCCTGTGTGGTCTTTCTTATTTTGCCAGGCCTACATTTCCAGATTCACGTAGAAGAGGCTTTGCTCAACTCAAAAGCTATTTTTGGAGTTCTAACTAAAGAGTAATGTACTCAGATGTGTATTTCTGCTCTGAGGCCTTGCCCTTCCCGTAGCCTTGCATCCCTGACAAGGGAGAAACTCTCTGTGACTTGGAATTGAACCTTCCAGTCTTGGGTTTGTACTTTAGCAATCTCAAGCCAGATCTGGCACAAGGTTTTAGGATTCACCATGGAAAGTTTGTTTATCCAACAAACAAAATCTTTGGTGACCTGATATTCACATGCACCTTGCATGTGCTCCGGCGATACAGCCAAGCACATGGAAGAGCCAGGGAGTCTGATGGGACATCTTTGTTTCCAAACACTGTGTTCCAACCCACTTTTATTTGTTTAACTATTTACTTTCATGACAGAAGGAAATTCCTGCTTGGATCTCTCTGCTTAGACTGGATGTGAATGCTGCCTTCTGCCATGTTACTCAGGCAGCCCCACCACAGATGGTGGGGAACGTATGTAAACCAGAGGGCAGGGTGCGAGTAAGACAACTAAGATGCCCTTGACTTTGTCCTGATGGCAAAATAATTTCCCATATTTTATACCTTAGACTGAGTAATCTCAAGATAAAACATAGTAAGTCTCATGCTTTACTGAGGATTTCTCCAGAATACAATGTGGGTCACTGGCAGGGAAGGGGCTAACTCAATAACATAACTGTAGGCAGGCTGGCAGGATAGTCTGCCTACACTAATAACTCCTTTTGAGGGAGTTAAATGCCACTGATTCACCTGGGAGAGCACTGCAATAACATAGACGCGATAAACAGATTTTACCTCCTCCATTATTAGTGACCAGGACAACACGTTGTCTGGCAATGTACAATGCTCCTCATCACCTCATCAGCTCCATCCTTCCTTGTCCTCCCTGCACTTCTGCCAGGAGCTGAGCTAATGTCTCTGCAGAAAACTCCACTGGGCTGCAGAGAAAACCTGTCCTGCTCAGAGCCAGCTTGGGGATTTCTCCATGGTGTTGCACAGCATCATGGATTCATGCAAGGTCAGTCAGAGCCACTTTGGGGATCTCTAGCCTGCATTACGCTGCACCACAGGAACATGCAAGTCTCTGCCAGCGGGGAGCTAATGCCTCAGGGAAGGAATTGCTGATCTGTCCCCAAGATTTGCTTTCAGAAGTGTACACAGGCATAGAGGTATTTCTGCAGTCCTGAGTTCAGAAACCCCAAATCTGTTCCCTAATACACCCAACATCAGGTAGCTCCGTTTGGCCAATACATTTAGTCTGAGCCCCGGTGGGCTATGGGCAGATCTCCATGCACTAACCCTACAGTTACCTAAAGCATAGCATGTGTGTGCAGAGTAACCCTAACTAGGTGTATTAAAGTTGGAGGACATACTGCAAAGTAATATTTGAGTAAATGAAGTGTCAGCAGCAGGTCCTGGATTTGTCACTGTGGCTTTGGTGCCTTTTCACAGGAGAGCCATAAGAAACATTTGCTGCTTCCGTCACACGTAACACAGTTTGTTTCCTTGACCCTAGATATTCAAATACACCTGTGCAGATGAGGGGAATGAAACTGCAAGAAGTCAAGCTGAGAGACTTCAGGTCAATGTTTTTCTCACCTACTGAGAAAGGCTGCAACTCTAAGATGAAAGAAGGTGTGTCCTCATGGACTCACCACTCTTCTGACCAGCTCTCTGCTGGCTGTAAAGGAAATGCAGGGATGTTCTCAGAGATAGACCTGCTTGGTACACACTCCCATTTATTCCAAGGAATCCCACACTAAAGCTGAGCTTTCATTTACTTTTAATTTATCCACTATGGGTGATGGTCATTTCAGCCTTCTTGAGGACTACTACACGCTATCAAGGCTATCTGAAGAGCCTGCATACAGCACTCTCCTTAGCCATGGGAGCATTTTCCTGCCACCTCAAGTACATGATGTGGAGAAGAATCACATATGTTTGTACCTACCTAATTCCGCTTCCTTTCTCACTTCTTTTGGGCTGCAGAATGAACCGTGCCCCCACCACTGGCTATGAATCAGATGTTGGGAGCAAGACCACTCATCACTTCGTTTACCCCGAGAGCTACAAGGAGCTGGCAGAAAATGTGAGCATGATCCTGATCCCCTTCAAAACCCTGGACCTGCGCTGGGTGGTCACTGCTCTCACCACAGGCACCATCAACTTGTGAGTAAGGGCAGCCCTGAGTGGGCAGGATGAAGGGGTGGGAGCTCCCACACGTTGCTGTGGGACAGGAAAGCCCACGCTGGGCAATTTCCTGCTTCTGATAAGGCCTAGGGAAGCTTTACAGACCTTCTCAGGTCACTGTTCAGTCCTGAACACTTGCTTTCTAGGAAAGGCTTAATGTTACAGTGCAGTCTTTGAGGCAAAGATCCAGATCCAGCTTTTCACAGCCCCACACAGTGGTCTCAGAGAAATGAAAGGGGGACTTTTTGCTGCTGAAGGTGGCTAATTTGAGCAGTGGCTTCCTGGGCTTTGGGGTTCAGTGCTTCATTTTAGGCTTCTGCTCATTCTTCCACATCTCCAGTCGCTTGGGAGTACACTGGATACAGACAGCATGTCCATACCCAGACATACCCATCAGACAGCCATCTGCAGAATCAGGTGTTTGGTGGGTTATTCATTCAGCAGTGGTCCTAGTCATCTGGATTATCCCACCTGAGACACTTGGGTGGCCAAGAGGCCCTTCAACATAGATTATCCCACTTGCAGAAGGGGACAAAGAGGCAGAGAGGAATGTGCAGGCTGCTGACAGGAGACAGTGAGAGCAGGAGGAGACGGGGACACAGCATCCTTCCCTGGACAGGTCGGTCAGGAGTTCTGTCCATCTTTCCTGGTGGAAGGTGATTGAGAACTGTGCAGAGGAGACATCGTTGTGTCATCTATGTGCCTTACCTTTAAACTAACTTGTTTTACCTGGCAGTAAAGCACCAGACTCATATTTATTCTGCATTTCTTCTTTGTGCTTTCAGAAGTAAACATTGTCCAGCTTAATACATTTATAGCAGTGCTAGAATTAGAAATGTGAACAAAGTGCATGTTTCTTCTGGACGTCTGCTAGAAGATTCTCTCCCTTCCTATACGATGGCTTTTCGTAATTCAGAGAATGAAATCTGTGACATTTGTACCGTGTGTGAGGTTATTTCTAGATGTAAAGCCACAGCCTGGTGGGATTGTTCAGTGGCACCCTGTTACACATGGACAGCAAAAGTAGATCAGATTGATTTATTCCAGAGAGAAGTATTTCGAGATGTTTCAACATTTTATTGAATTTCTAGATGTTTCAACAATTTCAGAGTCTCAGAAGTTTAAAAACTTGGAAAAGTATGTCCCTGTTGACTGGGGATAAGACCCTCTTTGAGTTTTAAGGAAAACTTTTTGATGGGACAACAAATGGATTTTTTTTTCTTTCTTTAATTTTATTTTCTCCCTTTGCAAATGCATTTTAGGTTCTTTTTACGTGTTATTAAGATTCTCTTCACTTGTAACAAATATGGTTTAGTCTCTACTTTTTTTTTGCCACCAGCACTTAGTATATACAGTCATAAGTTGTCTTGAAAACAAATCCATCTTCAGGACACACTTGTAACTTGGAAAAATCAGCTCACTTTGAAAATTGGCTTAAAAATATCACCTTTTTTTGCAAGGCTTAGCATTTTCTTTTTTTCTTCTTTTAGTAGGTGTACTGATAAAAAATGTTAAGCCTGGATCCAAATCCTATCAGAAGCAATGGAAAGCTCCCAGCTGCCTTCAGTGGTCTTTGAATGAAGTCCCTTGCTGCATCTTTCTCAAATCCATGCCTGCACTGGGTAGAGGTACCCATAGTGTGCCAGGTGTTGCCATCATCACCCATCTGTGTTTTCATCTCTGTCACTGCTCTGTGCTCAGATGACAAAGCCATTCACTCACTTTTGTCAAGTATTTACCTTTAGAAGTGGCAGCAAGTGGGTTGCAGCGGTAAAGTTGAGCGAGCCCTTAGCCTGTCAGAAGATATAACTGGTTGACTTCAAGGCAGTCATAGCATAGGAAGGGAAAAACATCTTTGCTTAATAAATTCCATGATATGTTTTATATTTTTAATTAGATTGTATGCATGGGTTTGGTAAGCATTTGGTAGAAACTACTGTGTGAGTATTTAACCACATGGAAGAAATACCAGTACTTTAGAATTTTTGCCATAATCAAAGCAGGGAAATTGCATCATTAGTAAGCTGGCACATGCTGGAGTAATAAAACCAGAAAATCATAAGCATACAAATCATAATCTATTTAACATAATTTTAGGCTAACAGAATAAACCTATGAGCAAGCATTAAACACACAATGTCAGATAGAGTGTATAAGGAAATGTACATTTGTAAAGAGTTTTTTAATGGGTCAAAAGAAAAATCAAACTGCAGATGGTCTTAATATTAGATTGAATTGACAGCTGAGTGATTCTCTCAGACATGTCCCATCTGACTGATAGATGTCCCATTTCAGAGGGGCTGTCTAAGATTAAGCATTGTCCCAGAAAAAAGAAAAGCCTTCAGAGACAGAAAACCAGGCTCTCATCAGTCATATCTTTAGCCTAGTTGCCTTAACTTGCCTTCTACAGGTCTTCTAGGAATCTCCATAGTGAAAAAAGCTCCATGTATCTCTGCTTTCTTTAGCAAATAGCAATTTTTATATTCCTTAATACGTTCTGCATCTTCCTCTTGTGTCAAGGGTACAATAGAAGTTCAGCACAAGGTGGCCAGTGATGCTGGCAGACTTCACTAGAGCCCTCCCAAGTGGCTCATGGAAGGCATTTTCCAGATTATATGAATTCCACCTGCAGCCACCTTCATCATAGCCTTTACTCTATTCCCACTCCTGTGTGGTACCTGGGTCACTAACTCCTTGGCTGCTATGCAACCCAGTTTACAAATGGTCATAATGGTGTAGGTCTCCATCGGGTCTTAAGCAGTGTGCCAATACTTGCCATGCAGCTGCATGAAATTCTGCAGTCAAGTGACAGCAGGACTTGGATATTGCCTCTGAAAAAAATAAATATCCCATTATTAAAATGCCTAACATATCGTCTGACAAGAGCTATGTAGTGTCCTGGTTTGATATGCTCCCCTTGTTTCCTCCACATCACCTTTTTAGAAAAGGCTGTCTGTTTATTTATGTATTAATAAGGTTTTTCCAGTAAAGAAGCCTTTTTTGTCTTTATAACCACAAAAAGGACATGGGATCATCAAGTCTGCTTCTACCAGTTTTGCTAACCAAGGTGAGGCATGGTAGCAGATGTAAGGCATATTTGCTGAGGGCAGATGAAGAAGTCTGCATGAGCATCCCTTGCCCCATTAGCGTCTCATGTCACATCTCAGAGGGCTAGAACCCACCCGTCACATCTCCTGTCAGGGAGGCCCAGAGTACCTAAGGAGATGACAATATTGCCAGGTCACCACTCATTTGGGAAAACTTAGGTTAACTTTTCGAAGTGCTAATGATCCATGGTTCAAAGAGAAAGAAAATGGTAATTACAGGAACCTTGTTGCTATAAAAAAATCAAGCAAAAACATTTAGATTGAACTACTGAAAGGTTTTAGTGATTTACCACAACCCATCTAAAAGTGTATTTTGAGATATACTCTAATTACAAGGCCGGTTCAGCTGAATTTTCTCACTTGAAAGAAATTTGGGGAATTTTTTTTCACAGCACTCGTGACAATCCGTGCAATGCCAGCATGCCCTGTGCATGAGATATGGGGAAGAAAAGGGTTTTTTGTTTTCAAGACATAACTCGTGATTTCAACCCAGTCATAAGGTACGGCTTGGAAGTTTTATGCTGGGACCTGCAGGAAGCCTTCAGCATCCCCCTGGGGAGGAAGGGCATAGCTTGCTGGTGAGGGGCTCAGAAGTTAAGAACTGAGCTACCACCTACTCTGAAAATTATGCAGGAGCCACAAGTATTAGGAGGGGAAAAGTCTCCCTCTGGTGGGAAAAGGTTTTTCTGCCGGGAAATTAAATGGAAAGCCCTTCTCGTCATCAAAGTTCAAAGACTGCAACCGTCGTGGGCCAAGAATTAGAAGTCATGGGCTCCACATAATATTGACTTTACAATATATTATCGACTAAATCTTTGGTGTCCTACTGTCAATAATTAACTCGGAATTTTACAAATGTAGTGGATTCCTATAAACTTGCTTCAGAGACACCTCAGTTCTTTTTATGCTATATTACTTAATTGCAGACTCTTTTTCCTTTTATTTTTAAATAATTTGAGTTTATTCCTGTACATGAAGAATATTCTTTCTTTCTTTCTTTGGAAACAGAGGAAAATATTGTTATGTTGGGCTTTTACTAACCTTGGTGTCTTTTTTTTGTTTGTTTCCTAACAGCACTTATATTCCAGTTCCACGGAAAATCAAAGTCAAAAAAGAAAAGGTGAGAAGTGCTGGTTTGTGAATTTGTTCTGCTAAACCACCTGTAGGTCTTTTGCCTCTTTGAGAGACTGCCAGAATCCAAGGAAGCTGTTGACATAGAAACTGCAACCAAAGCACACACTCTTTACAAGGCTTGGCTAAGCTAAAGACTTAGTTCCTGTGTGCTGCTCAGGACATAGGTCAACCACTAAATAACTGAAGTTGGAAAGAAACCACATCTTGTCACTGTGCCACGGCATTACCTCTGTTCTGAAGGTTGCATTGCTTCCTCTGGTACTGCTCAGGAGACTTCAGGTGCACCATTGGTGATCAGTGCTCACCCTCCACAGCAGTGACTCTGTTCCCACCCATTGCAGTCAGTTGGATGCAACAACACTTAGAGCTGTGGAGACACTTTGGAAGTTTTCTTTTTTAATAATTTGAATTGACTGTTTGAATGTCAAGGATGTTTCTCACTCCTGGGTCATTTCCCAAGTATGCTGTGGCTTAATAGGTGTGCCCTACTGCTGGAGGCAAGATTTCCCTTTGTCATTCCCATGTTGCACCTTTAGCGACCATGCGAAGCTGTTGTAGCTGCATGGTTTGAAGACATAACCAAGGCAGGCTCTGTAGGGAGCAGTAAAAGATGTTTCCTCTTTCACAGACCTTCCAGCAAAATAAAAATCTAATTCTCTTATCCTTTAGAGAGGAGGATTTTTAGAAGAGCTGATGTTCCTCATCACTCAAGGGCCAGTAAAGTATGATGTTAGCTCCAGAGCATTAAAATTACAGATTAAAGCACACATCCTCTATTCAAGAGGCCAGGTTTTGCTAAAGGCTTCAGATGAGACCTTTAACCAATATCAGTTTATGTCCCTGTGCTTCAAACTGTGGACCTCTAGAGGGTATTAGATAATCACTTAGCTCATCCCTATCTGTTGTGAGGATCTTATTAACCTCTGCAAAACCCTTGTGAGATGCACTACGGCAGGTTGTTAAACTCACGTCACAGTTGAGTAGCACCAGCCCAGGGTATGGCTGGCTGATATGCAGCAGCTTCCCAGGCAGACAGAGAGGTCTGTGTTTATTCCCACCCTGTGTGATGCAAAACACTCCGTGAGAGACGATTACACACAGATACAATATCAGCAATTAACCTATGACTTTGTAAAAGGAAAAGCCCTGCAGCTAACTAGATAGCACTGAAACGCTGTCACCCTAATTACAAACACAGCGTGAAGGGAAAAGCCTCGCTTTGCCTGGTTCAGGGAAAGGAGGTTGAAACCAGGGGCTCCCACCAGTCCTTGGATTTACAATTCACTCAGGTCTGATCTTGAAAGCTCTCTCTCCATTAGATGGCCTCATAATTTCCCAAGAGATAACCAAGTGCAATTTATGTCTTTTAAAGAAAAAACACCAAAACAAAACAAAAAAGCATAGAAAAACAGGATATTTGGGAAATGGTAGAAATGCAGCTGATGCAACTAGTTAGGCTTCCTGACAATTTATACCTGACCCCTGGTTTTCTTAGATCTGTACCTATAGAGATACCAAGACATGGTTGACATATTGTGCAGAAGATATAGTTGCTCCTATGTTCCCACCCAAATTGTGGTTGAACTCAATTATCTTGAGGGTTTTTTTCCAAACTAAATGATTCTATGATTGTAGAAAATCTGGCATGGCATCTTACACTTGCCTTGCTCAGGCCTCCAACTCCCCAGAGCTTACCAGCATATCAGCAGGACTCTGTAGGGAGAGTTGAATGCCCATTTTTTCTCCCATTTTTGTGCCATTTCATACCCATTGGTTTAAGTAGGAATCACACAGGATTTACATTAGCATAAGCAAGTGGTGTATCAATACCAAGGAAGAAATATCCATGTGTAATTGCACATGGGGAATATTCTTGAATGCACTTAACTATGAGGCTTTATTTTTCCCTTTCACCTGCCCTTAGGGAACAACTATTATTCCTTTCTTCTCCAACCCCCTACCCTGATGTCCTTTAGGGATGACATGCTACTGTTGTTGATTTTTTCCCTGGAATGTTTTACTGATGAGTCTTTCTCTGCAATTTTGCCTAGATCCTGGTTTATAATCCAGCTTTTATGAAATACGTCTATGAAAACTGGCTCCAGAATCATGGGAGATACCCCTCCACAGGCTTTCTGTCATTGATATTTGCACTCCATTTATGCGATGAGGTAAACTCTGGCTGTGTTTGGATATATGGATAAAAAATCAGGACATTTCACACTGAAGTGCCAGGAACATGCCCTGGCCACTCATTCAGCCTTTATTTCCTCCTCTCCATCTTCTCTGCCATTTGCTTCTTCAAACAGACACAGAGTCCTTAGTAACATGCAGATATGCTTCACTGACAGTGACAGATTTTTTTTTAATATCAGCAAGTGGTAGGGTTTAAGATGCATTCCAGGGCAATATAATTAAACATAAATAGTGGGATTCTACTTGGTATCAAAAGAGATCTAAATATGGATGGTGTCTTTGCCCATCTCATTAGTGGATGTCCCAGTTATATTTTATCTTACTCTTAAGCACCAAGAGCTGTTGGTGTTGCCCTGGGCATGCCCTTTGCCTCCAGCTGCCAGGCCATAAATGCATGAATCTCGTGGTCTTCTGTGACATCTGCCCACCTTGAATAGATGTATTGAGTACCCAAGGACATTTCAAATGGCACTTATGTTTAAACAACTGCGTTGAGGTCTTATCTGTCTAATCAATGGAGCCAAGAGTGTCCTTGTCTAGGAGATCCTGCTATGGCAGGGGAGTTGGACTGGATGATCTTTCGAGATCCCTTCCAACTCCTAATATTCTGTGATTCTGTGTGAAGAGGCTGATTCACTAAACCACCTTCCTGGTAGGATGTTAGGGGAGTGAGATCACTCCCTGGTTACCAGACTGTGCTGCCTGAATTGTCGCTGAGTGTAATGGATGCTCAGGCACCTCCATGTGGATATCTAAATCTTAAACATAATCCCACCTGGAGAACTTTGATGACCAGCTCTTACATAAGCCAATTTGGGGAATGCAGATGGTCTGTTTTCAAACCCAAGCTTGTGGGTTTGTACAGTATGTTACAGCAAATGCCTCTGCTCCAGCAGTTACTTGAGAAAATTCCCTGGCTTGAGTGATGTGAGGTGACTCTCCTAGGTGACTGGAGACTTAGCTGATTAGTGTAATGCCAGGTCAGCTCTACAAAATCCTGCAAGCATGGGCTTGTCAGCATGGGGGATAAAAATCACTATGCTGGCAAAATCCACACCCTGGACACAGATCTGCTGATGAAAGAAAGCTTTTGTCACCTAGGCCTGTGTTGCTGGGGAGAGGTGATGGAGATACTCCTAATGATGCTGGCAGAAACTGTACCACAGTCAAGGCAGATAACAGCAGTTATCTGCTGTTATATATCTGCCTCTGTAACTGTTTTCTAGTAAGCAGGCAATGAGCAAGGCTCTGACATTATCAAAAATAACTTAAAATCAGCTTGTATTTGAGTGGGTCCAGGTATGGGTGTGTTAGAGTGTGTGTTTTGTGGACTATGACCATTCAAAACCAGCCATATAGTCACTCTCAGTTTAAATAAAAGTCAACTGTGTTGATGTTTGGGCATTTACCACCAGAGAAGACTGGCATAGCCACTGATGGATGAGCCGCTGGGAGAGGAAGGGCGACAGGAGTATATACACAAAAAGAACAATGTCCATCTGTCTCTGAACTGACTGAAAATGTAATGTAATGAAGCATATAAGTGGAGGTTGACATAGGTCATCATTTGGAAGACTAGGAGCAAACCCCAAGATTTTTTCACTCTTCCTGGCCTTTATCAGCTAAAGAGGAGATTCCCATCCCAAGCCTCTGACCTTCTAAGGTCAAACATCATGCTTAGGGAACAGGAATGTGTTTTTCATGTTGCTAAACAAGAGTTAATGGATAGAAATTTTCTGTCTGGTCTCAAGTGTGGTGATGGTCTCAGCATAGCTTAGGATATCATGTCCCTTGAGTAGGCCTTGGACCATTATTCTGTGGTTGCATCATCTCATGCAGCAGAATAGCTTGGCACACCACCGAGGTTCTCAGGTTCAAGAGAAACTTGAGAATCAAGAGAGTTTCTTCAGCATTTCAGATGAAGAGCCATTGCATTCCAGGCCATAACCACTTGATGGATGGACTCGATGATCTTAAAGGTCTGTTCCAACCAAAACCCTTCTATGATTCTATGTTAACATTAGTTCTGTCTTACTTCCTAGGTGAATGTGTACGGTTTTGGAGCAGACAGCAAAGGACATTGGCATCACTATTGGGAAAATAACGCTTCAGCTGGGGCTTTCCGGAAGACAGGTGTCCATGACGGGGATTGTGAGTTCAATGTAACTTTGACTCTTGCCTCCATCGAAAAAATAAACTTTTTCAAGGGCAGATGACCTTGAAAGGCCACGGGGAGAAGTGCAGGCTGCAACTTCCAACACGCAGCAGAACAAAGCTCAGTGAGGATGATCTGGGCACCAGCCAGGTTTGAATGCATGGATCTGCGGTGGATTCGGAGCGTCTCACTGCTGCAATGCTCACCACAGGGAGCTCGGCTGAGGACCGGCTTCCAGGCTGCACATCATTTCCTATCTGCAGATAGCTTGGAACTACCAGCTGTGGGAATAAATGAATCTCTGCTTAAGCTCTACAGCTTCATTTCTGAATTACTGATGAAAGATCTGCCTGTTGCAATTAGAGGAATCCTGGGCACAGGAACCGCTGTTTGTGTGCCCATTCTTTCCTCGAGTAAGACAGGAGATCCTCAAAGAAGAGTGGAAACGACTTCTGGGACTTGAGACCCGCTAGGGCAGCTGTGAACATCATAGTAAGGATTACCTCAAAGAAATTAATTCACTTCTGCTGTTGATCTTCTTTTTTGAACTGCCTCTTTTGTTTCCTCTATTACTTCTGGTTTCATGCTGTGTTAAGCAAAAATGTGATGAAGTTGCCTGGAGTAGTACATTTTTCAGCCATTGCCTCATTCTGCATTGGTAGTGTCTAGAAAATATGGATCAAATCATCTCTGATCATGTACTATTTAATATTGCTTCCTATACAGCCATAATGAGAGAGAAAACAATACTGAGAACTCCAGCAAAAAAAATGGCCTTTTTAGCCACTTGTTTGTCTTGTTTGGTTATATATAAATTGTATTTCTTTTTTTCTTTGTGGAAAATACTCTGGAATGCTCATTTTTATTTAATCAGTTTAAGTTTGAAACTTTTTTCTTTCAGTCATTTATATGTGCCTTTTATAATTGTGCAACAAATGTGATTTTTTTTTAAAGATGACAAGCTCTAAATTAAACTTTTTTATAAAAGGGGGGAAAATTAACCAAAGTTTAGCCTCCATGTGTTATACTTTTGTAGTCAAAACCAGTAATAACAGCTCCTATATTGTATTGAGCAAACACAAACAAGACTAATTTTTAAAGGTAGCTTTTACCTTTTTTATGGGAAAATATCCAAAAGTTCCAAGGAAACTTTTCCTCTTATTTTTTTACAAATTTAGAACATGGTATCTCTTTGCAAGGTCTTTATTTGAAATGGAAGAAATATCATGGGTTGGGATATCAGCTAGTAATACAAGAGGAAACTTTTGCCCTGTAGCAGCATCTACAAGGACACAATCTACACAAGCTGATCCTACAGTGTAAGCCAGGCTTCAGAATTATGTGCCTCTCTAGAGGAATGAGTGTATTAATGTCAGTACCTCTAGGCAGTGAGAGGAGGCAAGTGACAGTGATTTTAATATCCACAGGTTTTTGCTGGAATCAATACATTTAATCTTCAAGGACAGATAAAGCATGAATCCAAGAACAAAGTTCAGGTAGTAAAGAATGGGGAACAGTGGAGTTTTTTTCTTCCTGATATAATGAAAATAGGATTAATGGATTATTAGCCCATTTTCAGATCATTTGAAGCCAATGGAGTTCTTGCCACAGCCTTCAAGGGCCCTTAGATCAGGCTCAGAAAAAATGGCATATTTTATTTTTAATGGATTACAATGGTTGAGGCTTGTGGCAATTTAGAAATCATCACTTAAATGGCTTGTCTTTCATATATCAGTTGTGGCAACCTGTCCAAGCGGATGAGTATTTGAGCTGAGTGAAAGCCTGTTCCTTCAGCCAGTGATGTGCTTCAGCCCAAGATTTATCCCCTTGTCTTTCCATGCCAGTTGTTAACCATGAAGTCCCCTCCGAGACACCAATTCATGGCACAACAGCATGTCCAGCTGAATTATAAATATTTTGGGCCACGGCACCATTCGCCAACGTGAAATGGTTTACCTGCATGAGTATTACTGGACTCACTGTGTATAAGGAGATGAGGATGCCAAACCTCAGTGGGGGGAACTGAGTTCCCTTTGCTGTACACACGTGACCCTTCAGGTTAGCAATATGGAAAGGGCAGGATTTTCAAATCCTCATGCTGAGACGTGTTCATGGTCCTTATGTCAAGAAGCCCTTTCTCAGCACAGTGGCCAGCAGAACTCATCTTGTTTTCATCATAAACTTCTTTTGTTTTTTTCCTCATGGACAGTTGTCAGTAATTCAGAAGCATTTCATTGCTGTTTCAATCATTTTTAGAAAGACTTGCAAGAAAACTCATGGTGATTTGGTACCCAAATCCCATTGATTTTTGTTTTTTAATCACAGCTGGCAGTTTGCGATCAAAGGAAATGCAAAAAAACGAGCTGTTTTCTAGCCTGTGTTGTTCTGAAAGTTTCCTTTTGCTATCCAAATTAAATCTCCACTTTTCCCCTGAATATTCTTCCTCTGACAGCAGATATGAAACATTGTGGTTTATACTGTTGTGGATGGATTTAGTATCTTTGTCACAGAACAAGTTGCAAATCTCATTTTATTTTCTTGCCAGCAGGAAGCAGTAACTGTGTACCACTGATGTCCATTTTTCAGAGCATGACGAGAGCAGGAGTGGACCTCTCTAGCTGTAGGATGAGACTCAAGTCTGTGCCATCACATTTCTATCCTAGAGGAACTTTGTCTACAGTCCTTTAGGCAACCGACTGTTGTCATGTTAGATCTTTGTCACAGTTTCTCCACAATTTTGCTGCTCATTCAAATACTTTCAGAATAAGGAAATACCAACAGATGATGTTGAG